AGTAATTATTAACGGATTAACTTCAAACTTCACAACAAGGTTAATTACCATGAAACCACGGACAGGTTTGATAACCGCCATTATCCGACCGTAATTACTGGAGTTATTACCCTTGGTTTCATTAATGCGATGCATGCGTTCCATGATGTTGTATTGCACTCATTGATCTACCAGTTATGTTGAATGATTTCTCTTTTAATATCAATTACTCACAAGTACTTCATATATTTCAATCATACAAACAACTGCTCATTCAATGTGTGACGGGCGTATTATATACCGCTCGCGGTAACCTTGTTCAATATATATTAAAGGTACAAGTTTCTATTCTGAAAAATGATTTTTAAATTTATAGCTGTCCTGATGGTAAGATCAGATCTTACCATCAGGACAGCCATTTTTACGGTACCGTAGCGCTAAAACGGCCCGGGGAGAACACTGACATCTTGTATGCATCTTCACTAGAAACTTTTGTCTCCACAGTAATGACAGAGAAGAAGCTGTAAGATTCCTGTTGGAAAATGGAGCAGACCCCAGTCCTCGTTATCCTGGGGGGAACACGTGAGTGTTTCTATATTGTCATATTTGGGATATCTTAATGGAAAAATATAAAAATAATAATCAATGCTCATAACCTTAAAAGGTTGTACAGGTGTGAGTGTCACTGACCCATTTCAATTGTAACTTCACAATTGTGGGAAGATATTGGTAGAGGTGGTCTCAAGTAACTAAAGGAATAGGCACATAAGGTAGTGACAGGGATGGACAGGGGGTCTCAAGTAACTAAAGGAATAGACACATAAGGTAGTGATAGGTATGGACAGGTGGTTTGTAGTAGCTAAAGGAATCGACACATAAGGTAGTGACAGGTATGGACAGGTGGGCTCAAGTAACTAAAGGAATAGGCACATAAGGTAGTGACAGGGATGGACAGGGGGTCTCAAGTAACTAAAGGAATAGACACATAAGGTAGTGGCAGGTGTGGACAGGTGGTCTCAAGTAACTAAAGGAATAGGCAAATAAGGTAGTGACAGGTTTGGACAGGTGGTCTCAAGTAACTAAAGGAGTCACATAAGGTAGTGACAGGTATGGCCAGGTGGTCTCAAGTAACTAAAGGAATAGGCACATAAGGTAGTGACAGGGATGGACAGGGGGTCTCAAGTAACTAAAGGAATAGACACATAAGGTAGTGACAGGTATGGACAGGTGGTCTCAAGTAACTAAAGGAGTCACATAAGGTAGTGACAGGTATGGACAGGTGGTCTCAAGTAACTAGAGGAATAGGCACATAAGGTAGTGACAGGGATGGACAGGGGGTCTGTAGTAACTAAAGGAATAGACATGGTCTGTAGTAACTAAAGGAATAGACACATAAGGTTGTGACAGGTATGGACAGGTGGTCTGTAGTAACTAAATGTATGGCCACATAAGGTAGTGACAGGTATGGACAGGCGGTCTCAAGTAACTAAAGGAATAGACACATAAGGTAGTGACAGGTATAGACAGGTGGTCTGTAGTAACTAAAAGAATAGACACATGAGGTAGTGACAGGTATGAACAGGTGGTCTCAAGTAACTAAAGGAGTCACATAAGGTAGTGACAGGTATGGACAGGTGGTCTCAAGTAACTAAATGGACAGGTGGTCTCAAGTAACTAAATGGACAGGTGGTCTCAAGTAACTAAAGGAAGAGACACATAAGGTAGTGACAGGTATGGACAGGTGGGCTGTAGTAACTAAAGGAATAGACACATAAGGTAGTGACAGGTTTGGACCGGTGGTTTGTAGTAACTAAAGGAATAGGCACATAAGGTAGTGACAGGTTTGGACAGGTGGTTTGTAGTAACTAAAGGAATAGGCACATAAGGTAGGGACAGGTTTGGACAGGTGGTCTGTAGTAACTAAAGGAATAGACACATAAGGTAGTGACAGGTATGGACAGGTGGTCTGTAGTAACTAAATGTATGGCCACATAAGGTAGTGACAGGTATGGACAGGTGGTCTCAAGTAACTAAAGGAATAGACACATAAGGTAGTGACAGGTATGGACAGGTGGTCTCAAGTAACTAAAGGAATAGACACATGAGGTAGTGACAGGTATGGACCGGTGGTCTGTAGTAACTAAAGGAATAAACACATAAGGTAGTGACAGGTGTGGACAGGTGGTCTGTAGTAACTAAAGGAATAGACACATAAGGTAGTGACAGGTGTGGACAGATGGTCTGTAGTAACTAAAGGAATATAGACACATAAGGTAGTGATAGGTATGGACAGGTGGTTTGTAGTAACTAAAGGAATAAACACATAAGGTAGTGCCAGTTGTGGACAGGTGGTCTGTAGTAACTAAAGAAATAGACACATAAGGTAGTGACAGGTATGGACAGGTGGTCTGTAGTAACTAAAAGAATAGACACATAAGGTAGTGACAGGTATGGACAGGTGGTCTGTAGTAACTAAAAGAATAGACACATAAGGTAGTGACAGGTTTGGTCAGGTGGGCTGTAGTAACTAAAGGAATAGACACATGAGGTAGTGACAGGTGTGGACAGGTGGTCTGTAGTAACTAAAGGAATATAGACACATAAGGTAGTGACAGGTTTGGACAGGTGGTCTGTATGAACTAAAGTAATAGACACATAAGGTAGTGACAGGTTTGGACAGGTTTTTGTCACTATAGGAGATTGACATTGATGGTAGTGAGAGGTTTGAGCAGGTTATTGTCACTATAGGAGATTGACAGTGATGGTAGTGACAGACGTGAACAGGTTTTTGTCACTATAGGAGATTGACATTGATGGCAGTGACAGGTTTGAACAGGGTTTTGTCACTATAGGAGATTGACAGTGATGGTAGGGACAGGTTTGAACAGGGTTTTCTCTCTATAGGAGATTGACAGTGATGGTAGTGACAGGTTTGAACAGGGTTTTTGTCACTATAGGAGATTGACATGGATGGTAGGGACAGGTTTGAAAAGGTTTTTGTCACTATAGGTGATTGACAGTGATGGTAGTGACAGGTTTAAACTGGGTTTTCTCTCTATAGGAGATTGACAGTGATGGTAGTGACAGGTTTGAACATTTTTTTGTCACTATAGGAGATTGACATTGATGGTAGGGACAGGTTTGAACAGGTTTTTGTCACTATAGGAGATTGACATTGATGATAGGGACAGGTTTGAACAGGTTTTTGTCACTATAGGTGATTGACAGTGATGGTAGTGACAGGTTTAAACAGGGTTTTCTCTCTATAGGAGATTGACACTGATGGTAGTGACAGGTTTGAACAGGGTTTTGTCACTATAGGAGATTGGCAGTGACAGGTTTGAACAGGTTTTTGTCACTATAGGAGATTGACATTGATGGTAGTGAGAGGGTTGAGCAGGTTATTGTCACTATAGGAGATTGACAGTGATGGTAGTGACAGGCTTGAACAGGTTTTTGTCACTATAGGAGATTGACAGTGATGGTAGTGAGAGGTTTGAGCAGGTTATTGTCACTATAGGAGATTGACATTGATGGTAGTGAGAGGTTTGAACAGGTTTTTGTCGCTATAGGAGATTGGCAGTGACAGGTTTGAACAGGGTTTTCTCTCTATAGGAGATTGACAGTGATGGCAGTGACAGGCTTGAACAGGCTTTTGTCACTATAGGAGATTGACATTGATGGTAGTGAAAGGTTTGAGCAGGTTATTGTCACTATAGGAGATTGACATCGATGGCAGTAACAGGCTTGAACAGGGTTTTGTAAATATAGGAGATTGACAGTGATGGGAGTGAAAGGGTTGAACAGGGTTTTGTCACTATAGGAGATTGACATTGATGGCAGTGACAGGCTTGAACAGGTTTTTGTAAATATAGGAGATTGACAGTGATGGTAGTGAAAGGTTTGAACAGGTTTTTGTCACTATAGGAGATTGACAGTGATGGTAGTGACAGGTGTGAACAGGTTTTTGTCACTATAGGAGATTGACAGTGATGGCAGTGACAGGCTTGAACAGGTTTTTGAAAATATAGGAGATTGACAGTGATGGTAGTGAAAGGTTTGAACAGGTTTTTGTCACTCTAGAAGATTGACAGTGATGGTAGTGACAGGTGTGAACAGGTTTTTGTCACTATAGGAGATTGACAGTGATGGTAGTGACAGGTTTGGACAGGTTTTTGTCACTATAGGAGATTGACAGTGATGGTAGTGACAGGTTTGAACAGGTTTTTGTCACTATAGGAGATTGACAGTGATGGCAGTGGCAGGCTTGAACAGGTTTTTGTCACTATAGGAGATTGACAGTGATGGTAGTGAAAGGTTTGAACAGTTTTTTGTCACTATAGAAGATTGACAGTGATGGTAGCGAGAGGTTTGAACAGTTTTTTGTCACTATAGGCGATTGACAGTGATGGTAGTGACTGGTATCCACAGGACTTATTAAAGTCTTATGGGATAACTGGCGAGCTATTGAATTGGATCAAAAACTATCTTTCTAATAGGCAACAACACGTTTTTATATCGAATTCTCTTTCTCGTGCTGGTTTCATAAAAGCAGGAGTTCCTCAAGGTTCTATTTTAGGCCCATTATTATTCTTAGTATATATTTATGACATATCTGATGTATTGCTTTCTGCCTCTAGACTTTTCGCAGATGATACTTCTCTCTTACACATATCTTCTTCCTGTCAAGAAATAGAGACTGTCCTTAACCTAGACATTGATTCTTTAAGTAAATGGGCCAAAAAGATGGTTAGTAGATTTCAATGCTAGCAAAACCAATGTTTTATTTATCTCTAATGCGATAGAACTAAATGGAGATTTAGAATTACGTTTTAACGACCAATTATTGAATTTTAGTGATCAACATAGGCATTTGGGTGTAGTCTTCAATTCTGCAGGTAATTGGGGGGATAATATTTTAGCTATTTATACCTCCGTTATGAAGAAAATAAATGTTCTTAGAAGTCAGAAACATATTCTTAAAAGAGAAACTTTGTTGAAAATATATAACACTTTTATTTTGCCAGTTTTTGATTACTGTTGTGAATTATGGGACGGATGTACAATTAATGGAGGTGAGAGGTTAGAAAAATGTCAACGTGAAGCCGCACGTATCATTACTGGTCTTCCTTCCTATGCTAATAATTATGCTCTCTATTTTGAATCGGGGTTAGAAAGACTCTCAGACAGGAGAAAGAGAAGGAAACTGCAGTTATTGTACAAAATGAAAAATGGTATCACCCCTGCATTCTTAAACAAAATTCTACCCAATACAGTAAACCAAAATGTCAGATATCCTTTAAGAAACAGTAATGACTTTGTAATACCAAATTTCAGACTTTCTAGTACAAATTCATCCTTCTTACCTTCTACGCTTCGCTCTTGGAACAATTTAGATACTGCTAAAAGATCATAGGTCACTTTAGGAAGATTCAAAAAAGCCATCTCTCGTGAATTGGACACCAAATCGCCCAGTTATTTTGGTTATGGTGAACGAAAACTAAATATCCTTCACACTCAATTAAGGTACAACTGCAGTTCCCTAAATTATGATTTATTTAGAGTCAACATCGTAGATAGTCCCGCCTGTGTCTGTGGATCTCCATGTGACAACGCCTATCATTTCTTTTTTGAATGTCCAGTTTATACACACCAGAGGTTTGAATTGTTTCAAAATCTAAATTTTGTTAATGAAATCTCCTTAGATATATTGTTATCTGGTATTCCGGATCTGTCTTCTCAACAAAATAATGATATTTTTCGTAACGTGCAAAAATTCATAAAGACCAGCGGTTGGTTTTAATTCGTAAGGCGTTTTATATTTCTATACTCAATTTGTGAGACTGTCCAATGTTGTTCTTTCTCTTTTTCTTTCTCATTTTGTTTCTGTTGTTGTAATGCTACTATTATACATATTATTTGATACCCAGTTGTGCCATGTTTGTAAATCTGATGTATATATTTGAGGAAAGGGCGTAAATAATGTTGTAATAACTTGTGCCCAATCCTGTTGTCACTATTTTGGCAATAAAATATGTTTAAACTAAAAATCCACAGGTAGTCTCTAGTCACTGTAGGTTACAGTGACATGTTTACCGTGTGTTGTCAGGTCTTTACACTATGCTGCGGGTCTGACAGGATCATCAGAGGTCCTGGAGCTGTTACTTGAAAATGGGGCGGAGGTGGACCCTGTTGATGATAATGGATGCACACCGCTGTTCTTTGCCACACAGGCTAATAACCAGTTTGCTGCCTGTGTTCTCATAGAGCAGAATGCCAATGTCAGACACAAAAACTCCCAGGGTAAGTTATTCAGTCGTAAGATACTCCAAAAGATTGTGAGATAACTGTTGGAAGATATTTCATTGCTGGTGAAACTGTTTTTAAAAATATTGTAGAGGCATTTTGTATGTACACTGTACTAAGTACTATCCGATACAAAACTGTAGGTAATTTGTATGTTAACATTTTATTAAAGACATGTTTTTTGCATGGAAAATATTCTTCAAAATCTACACATAAAAGACTATTATTATATAAGGTTCATGCTAAGAATTTGAAACACTTTTGTGAAAATTGATTTGTTATTTTTTTAAATTATTTTCTTCTGTATGATACAGCTTTTAAAACTATTCTTTTAAAAAGAATGTTGCAAACAACAAGCCTTTATTGAACTTAATTGAAAATTAAAAGTGATAAATTTTATTTGAAATAAAGACTTTTGAAATAGTGATTATGCATCGAAATTTGTAGCATTGCAAAGTGTTGATTGTTAGCTCACCTGGCCTTGAGGCCTTGAGGTATTTGACAAGTGACTTGTTGTGTAGAGTATTATAAAGTTGCCATCAGAATTGAGAATGAGCTATATCGAAGGTCATATACATCAAATCTGTTAACACTTAAACAACCACTGCTGAAGAACCGTACAGTTTAGGAGGCAATGATTTCAGATTAATGTTTGTAAGGAAAATATCACAAACAATCTATAAATTCTTCCCATAAAAAATATGTGCCAGGTGAAAATGTTGCATTTTACAATATACTACAGTATTGTTTGTGTTTTGGTTCCTATAGGTTTGACTGCATTTGATTACATCATTGACTTTGAGGAGTGGATAGACTGTGGGTATTTTACAGACGATATCAAAGCCAGACTCAAGGGTGAGTTAAGAAAATGGTTATTGCCTATTCTATTTAAGCCTAATTTTGAAATTGCTGGTAATTGTTTTATTCCAGAAATTTCATGTTTTTTTCTAATTGGCAGTCATTTAAAGTTCCACATCATGCATTTTTTTTAATTTTGAAATACATGTATATATTTCGAAAATTTTAAGAAAGGTGGAAGCTGATATATGTCATCAATAAAACGATATCTTAACTTAAAAAAAATAATTATGCAGTGCTTCATTGTTTTTTAGCACTTTACTTCAAAACACTGTTGACTTATGAATGTTAAACAGTAAACAGTTTCAGTGGTTATTGGAAAAAAAATCAGTTTTTTTGGCATCCGATAAATCATTTAGAATTTGCAAGTGAAATTTATAGAAAATGTGATGCTTAGTTCAAGGGTCCTGATGTAGCTTACAGTGTGAAGTGTGTGTTATCATTGTAGCCTTCAGCCTGAAGCATGCTCGCGACCTGGTCAGAGCTATATCAAAGAAGGTGAAACCAAACCAATTCCATAGCTTTCAGGACATAAGGATGAGATCAGGTCTGTCAACACGGTCATTCCAACCCACAACCAGCAACACCAACACCAACTCTCACTTCTCCAGCCAGCTTCCGTCCATCCATCGGGCATCCATATCTACCGGCTACATTCATAACTGACCACCGGTCCAAGATTTCAAAAAATTGACTTAGAAGTGTTGCATTTTTAGAAGTGTTGTAATTTTCAAAACTGACAATTTGTGATGTCACTTAAGCAAGGTTTTCAACAGTTTGTTAAATCCAACATTGACCTATAAATGTTATTGACATGTGATAATTTGATCAGTGATTGGTATTGTATGAAGTGACAGGGATGTAATGATATTGTTAATAGATGTCGACTGTTACAGAGGCCTGCTGACCTAGGATTATGTGTCCAGTGTATACAGTATAACATGAACTATTTGTGGTACTCTCTTGTGCATGTATTTATGTTTACAAACTGTTTTGTTGTTAATACAAATACCAAAACTCAAGACAGATGTTGTACATATATTCAATGTATGCATATTTAACCATTGAAAAAGATATCCATTGGAAGTAAACACAGTGAATGTGTCATGTTGTCCTGTATACTGTAGTGTGATCAAGTTGATACTCCATTTGTTCAACAAAACATGAATGGTCAATGTACTATACATAACTAGACTACAGCTGGTTTAAACTGCTGACACATATTTATAAGCTATATATTTATTTTTATTTTTAGAAGACTGTTGTTAAGGATGTGCCAATATTTTATAGAATTACTCTATTTTTGTTAATATTTTTGCTAGAGTTTCTATATTTTCATTCACAGTATTAAAAACCATGTAATTTGCATCACTTGTAAATAGTTCCATTGGAAACTTGAGAAGATATCTTTATATTATTTTTTTTCGTTTATTTTGTTGTCCATAGAATGTCTAGTTCTATTGAGAATTATTAGGACCAGTAATGGATATTAGTAATTTTTTATTGTTATATTACCGTTTATCAGTGTAGATTGTTAAATGACTTAACAAGTTAAAAGGGGGGTTATTTTTTATGCGTACATGTTTACTGGAACATGTATGGGGGTATTGTTTACTCCGGTACATCAGGAGATGTTTACCAGGACATGTAGAGAGGTGTGTTATTTCAATACAGTAGGTACATGTAGGTGTGAGTTACATGGTTAAGTCAAAACTTTTAACAGACTTAGCTGATTACTTTCGTGTATCACGGTTGAAACAGTTCGGGTGGCATAGAAATATTCCACAATAAACAAACATAGAACTGTACCCAAGCTTATATGCAGAGCTAAAAATGCAAGGTGTCAGAGTATTGTGACAAATAAATAACATCATATCAAGAATAATTTGTCCTTCTTTAACATGTCAACTATTTTATATCTATTACCATGCCCTAAAATATACATGTGAATCAACCTTGTTTTATGCAGAATATAATGTAAACTAGTGATACTCAGCATTTTAGTTTTGGTTAGGCACGTCTGGACCGATATACACGTGCCAAATTTTCCAGAGGTTAGACTCAATTTAAATCTTAGCCTGTTGTTTTCTTTTCAAATTCAGCTTGTTGAAACGGTTGAACCAGATATGCAAAAGGAGCCTTATATTTTTACATATCAGTAATAAATTTCTGATTCTATGTATTAAATTATTTGGTGCTCCTGCTATCTATTGTTTAACGTGTATGATATTGTTACTTTCAGTATAACAAGCAGAGATATTTTATGTAGTTTCATGACACAGCATGACAGAAGTGCTAGTTCCTAGTCTAATGGTCTTCAGGCAGAGAGTAACATAAGTCATACTTTTTTTAATTTCCTTACTTAAAGAAGCAGCCAGATGTGTATAGATATTTCTTGGGAATTTAGATTTTTTTCTTCAGAGCTTTATACTGTTTATTTTAGATTTTATAGGTCACCTGAGCTTTAGCTAAAGTGACCTATTGCTATCTGTCTTTGTCCGTCGTCGTGCGTTAACATTTTACATTTTCAACTCAAGCTAGGCCGATTGAACTGAAACTTTATAGGAATGATCGACTCATGGTCCTGACAAAGTGTTGTTATTTTTCGGGTCGATCAGAAATCCAATATGGCAAACACAGCCGCCATTTTGAAAAACTATTTAAAACTTAAAGTCAAGTTCTGCTGGGCCGATTGAACTGAAACTTTGTTTTTGGGTTGATCAGAAATCCAATATACTGTAGGACTCAGGTGACCGTTAAGGCCCATGTGCCTCTTGTTCATATATACACCAGAACTGCATACACTTAATGCAAACCCTAATCTTACAATAACCAATAGTACAAGATCATTAATACTTACATGAAATATATACATTGTGTACTATTAAATTTTCTTTTTCAAGACAATCATCTGTTATAATTTAAAGAGGGAAAGAATGTAGCCAACTTAAAATAGGAGAAAAAGAAAATCAAACATTACTATTCTAGGTTGTCCTCACAACAACTTGATAAAGATTTATTTTTTCATTTTACGAATAAAAACTCCATCCTTCCCATTCAGATATCATTCTTGACAATTTTGTGTTAATTTAATAGTTTTAATCAGTAATCCGTCCAATGTCATACCTGTTTTTAGGGAATTGATCATTTGTCCAATAGCAATTGTGTTTAATGTTGAAAAGAAATTTATGAAGAGATTTTTATATTGTATGCCATGAAAGCTGTTCAGTAGTTTTATCAGATATATTTATGTTACCATTTCTGTGATGAAGTTCTTGACTGAAGCTTTCAGAAAAATGGCATGAACATATCATTAGAATGTTTGTTTTAATAAGTTTTGTGGCATGTATCTTTTCATAAATATGTATTTTTATATGTTGTTTTCATTATCTTTGTTTCACTTGTTAAATCATCAACTGTTTACAATTTGTTATGGGTGTTTTTTCCTTGTTTATTGTCCTTTCAATACTGATGCCATTGTGATATAATTGTTCATTGTTGCAAATGATAGTTAAAATCAGTCAACTGTGACCATCTAATAATGTTAAATAGTAACCAAGACAACTTTCACTAGATAATGACAGTCATAATCAGTCAACTGTGTATATCTGGTTCAAGTTGGATATGTTAACAGTTAAAATCAGTCAACTATGACTATCTAATAATGTTAAACAGTAACCAAGACAACAATGTTAAAAAGTAACCAAGACAACTTTCACTAGATAATGACAGTCATAATCAGTCAACTGTGTCTATCTGGTTCAAGTTGGATATGTTAACAGTTAAAATCAATACACTGAAGATTTCAAAACTTTTTTCCCTCATTTGTATCGCATTTTAAATCTGTTTGATGTTTCTTGTCAAAACAACAAATCATGGATGTCTTTGGAATTGTCTTGTTATTCACATTTCCTGCCGTAGCAGTGGTTTACTTTGGATATACAATAATATACTTATCTTTACTGAATTTTATCAGTATGCTATTTTTAAGTAAAGAGTGACTTAAGTACATCATTTGTAGGTAGATTAGCGTAAAAATAGCCGAGTAATACAGTAGATATATATATAATAGCCGAGTAATACAGTAGATATATATATATAATAGCCGAGTAATACATTAGATAGATATATATAATAGCCGAGTAATACAGTAGATATATATATATATAGTAGCCAAGTAATACAGTAGATATAGATATATATAATAGCCGAGTAATACAGTAGATATATAAATATATAAGACAACACAAACTTTAATCATGATATGTGCAATTGTTTGCTTGTAGCTTTTGAGTCAGGGACCACATTTCTTTATGTCGTACATTGTAAAGCTTTAATTGAGCACTGATCTAGAATGGCAGAAAGAGCAGTGAACATTCAAGAAGCTGGGGTTCAAAAACATCCTTAGAAAATTGTTTCCAATATATTGTTCAGGATATATATATATACCAGGTAATTCTAATGTGGTTCAAATCTAGGATCTTTTATTTTGTTAGTCCAAGATTTTTACAAGAATTGTAATTTTAAATAAGCCCTTCTTATTTTTAAACATTTGAGTGTCTATGGCTGTCTAGGTGTGTATGTAAGAAATTGGTGTTATTCAGTGTATGTAAATATTGAAGAAATGTACTACATGTATCAACGTCTATATATAATTGTTACATTTGTTGCATTCAACAAGATAAAAGTATTCTCTTGTATAAGTTTCTATACTTTCTAAGTGCCACTGCACTAAATTGAGTATATATGTATGCTGTAAACATGGAAATGTAATGTTTTTCGCATTGAGTAAATAAGTGTAGAAATATGCACGTGTGAATATCTATTTATATGTTCAGTTTAAAGGGACACAACATGAACATTATTTCCACATGCTGTCCCTTTAACAGTATTTATTCACTGTTAACAGTAAATTTTCACCTCATTCTTCTTTTCGTTATTTTCCATGTTAACTAAGTAGCCAGATTTAACACAGGGTGAAAACTATTACATGTGTAATTATAGTTTTCTATATAGTTATTGATGTATTTAGGCAGTTTAATATAGTGGAAGGATAATTCCATCAAACATATGATTTAAATGATCAGTGGGTTAAAATTTGGCACTACAAAAGTATTGTGAAACAGAAAAGGGAGAAGAACCAACACCAGTACAATGTAGGTCGGGTCCTTAAGTAGTGTGCTGACAGGAATATGGATACTAATTAGTATGCAGGGTGTCCGCTCTAGGTAAAAGTAAAACAGGTTGAAAATGCTTTCGCGTACCTTGAACTAATATATATTTCAAAACTATTGTGACTTACAGAAGTTAACCTAACAACTGTCACTGTTGTAGGATCAAGACAGATTTTCTTGTAGAAGTTAACACATTTAACAGATATGATCGTATACTCATTAAGTTGGACTAAGTCCTACCTGTACCATCCTCAATACTCCAGGGGTTACGCTCACTTTCGATCTCTGCACCCCTGGAATATATCACAGCAAAATTGAAGGCACAAAGATAGCTGTTTGATTGGTCTCAGGTAAAAAAAAAACTGACCAATCGCTAGGCTGATCCTTGTCTTTTGAAAATTACAAAGGAGCGACACCTGACTTGAAAGCCTGTCATTTTTTTACCGTTACGTAACCGCATGATTCTTTTGATGTACATCAAATGATCGAACTAGTCTTCTTGTCTCATCAACAAGGTGGCGCGCACCAAGCTTTTGCTATGACACATTCCAGGGGTGCAGAGAGCGTAAGAGAGCATAACCCCTGAAGTGTCGAGGATGTACCTGTAAATGCCTTGACAATGTTGTTTTACTTAGAGAAGTGTTCCCCTCAGCTATATAGACTGGGAATTATTTGCTCACTTTGGTGGATTACATTACACACAGTATAGTTATACACACAGTATATTTATACATACAGTATATTTATTTATGCTTTTTTCACAGGAGCACGGCCATTAAAATTATAAAACTTGATGTTGTTTTATCTTCTTTATATTCAATTCTCAACGTTTACGTTTTGGTTGGGCTAGATCTGTCATGGTGTCTATGGCAATCGACAGGAACTTCAAAAGGTCTAGTGAAGAGTATACAGCATAGCTAGTTGTACAACTGTAATCTCCCAGGAAGTTTGAATGAACAATGAGGAATATACAACATTGCTAGCTATACTACAGTAAAATCCACAGGAACTTCAAAATGTCTAGTGAACAGTATATATGTACAGCATTGCTAGGTTTACAACTGTAAAATCTGACATTAGCGTATTGTTAGTTATCCAACTGTAAAATCTGACATTTACGTACTGCTAGTTGTACAACTGTAAAATCTGACATTAACGTACTGCTAGTTGTACAACTGTAAAATCTGACATTAACGTACTGCTAGTTGTACAACTGTAAAATCTGACATTAACATATTGATAGTTGTACAACTGTAAAATCTTACATTAACGTACAGCTAGTTGTACAACTGTAAAATCTGACATTAACGTACTGCTAGTTGTACAACTGTAAAATCTGACATTAACGTACTGCTAGTCGTATGACAGTTTAAACAGGAACTGTGTATAATGAGGAGTAAACACACATAATTACTGCATGGTCATTTGGAGTCCTTCAATTGTATCACATGTACACTGGACTTCCAGTCCACTTCCAATCAGTTTTATTAAGGTTCCAAAGTTGCTGTCTGGTCAAGCCTTAGAATCACAGACATTGTAACATAAAAATAAGTCAAGAAACACATTTTGTTTTACAAAATTTAGATTTGTATTTTACAACTTTTTGAGCTAAACTGCTGTTGACATTAAGAACGGTATAGTAAAATGTATTAATATTCACAATTAGACACAGGCACTCCTTCATGTTTTTCTTACCAATCGGTACTAAATTATCGGGACGATAAAGTTCAAATATGCACGATAGTGAAAATATTTAATTGCAAATATCCACATTGTAAGTAATGACGTTCTGATCATAGTGGAAGTTAAGCACTAGTTATGGTGTGCTTACCATGTGAAGCTACAAACTAATGTCTCTCCAATATATAAGATACCACAGTAAGGAACATAAGTTACCAATAATGTGTACCAAGTTTCAAAAAATGTCATTCACAAAGGAAACTGGTAATATTTTGGACAAAATATTAAATGGAAATAAAAAAATGGTATTCACTTCCATAATACGCAGATCAAGAAGCAAAAGTTCGCAACTTTCAAGTGTGATGACAAAATTGGTGGAGTTTATTTAATTCAGATGAAAACCATAGGAGCTGTTAGAACAAGAATCTATCTCATTCCTAACTTTGTTGCAAGGAGGTATACCAAGTTTCTGAGTGAAGTTATATGTCACCTACAATGATATACTGAGACTATAACACATGGCAACAGATTGGGGAAGATCATTATCTAAATGATAAATGTCAAGGTTTCACTTCTTCAGGATATTTTTGAAAACAATGGAAGTTAACAGATGAAGAAGTATCTGTCAGCATAACGAGTATCAGTGGAATAAAATGTTATTTAAATGTACATGTATGAACAAGCTATGATGACACAGTGAAACTAAATACATAATTCTATATGTAGGTGTATGTTTTAGTCAACAGTATAATTTTATATTTATAGTGTAGTTCTGCCCAAAAGTTAATATCATGGTGTTAACCTTACTCACTAAACATCACATGACTGGCAGTTAAAAGTGCACTGTATTATAGTTCTTGTAAGAAAGTGAAATGTGTATATGGCTAAAAAATACAAAAATACCATTTTTGTTTTGAGATTGTAATACTTGTGTATATTACTGGCCACACATTTGACTTGACATGGTATAAACCTACTAAAGACTGGCTGCAGGACTTATAAATAGGCAATGTTATGATGACCATCAGCTTCCACAGTAACAGTTGTGGATTCTTCAGCTTCCAAACTGATGATTACAATTCCTCAAGTATGTGACTATATCCTGACCTGTGCATTTTCAATTATCCCAAAAATGGCATCATTATCTATACAATCATATATGTATGTACACAATGTTCTAGATTGTAAGGCATTCCAATGAAGAGGGATCTACACAACACAGCAGACCTGGTGTCACTCACTCAGCCATGCTTCATGAGACTACAGCAGTGTCAGTAAGTTTTGTGATCAACAGTCTGTAGGCAGTATTGCTTGGTTCTTAATTAACTTGACCTGTTAACTCAATAATAGCTGGCAAAAAAAATCACCAAACCAGCATTTTCCCTTCTAGTTATGTCTTTCATCAGACAGCTCTAATCAGCTGTGACTGACCAGCGTCACTAAAAACTTTCACATTAATAGGTCTTGCTGACCACTAACTTTTTTTTCAAGAAGGGGTCAGTTTGAAGTCTCACATAAACATCGTTTATACTGCTGACCATTGACATTCTTAAAGAGGTGGTCACTTTGACGATTTCTTTGTTATACTGCCATGGGCAGGGATGACCGTTGATTTTGTCCCTGTGGCAGTCAGATTTATCACGGCAGGATTGATCATCCCAGGGATGTTGATGACACTGGGCTGGGCATCCCATTTACTCTTTCTCCTCTTCTCATCTGAATGACACAAACAATATCAGACTTATTGTAATATCTGTATTTACTGACAAATGGCCAAAATATATACACAATGGAGTAGTGATAGCTTCCTCATCTTTGAAAAACACTCCTAAGTGATCCATTAAGTAAGAGAACTTTCAGCAGGTCAAGAAGAAGACACATCAAGAGAATTAGATTTAAGTAAATAACTCTATGATCTGTCAAGATCATGATACACTTTAAATGTCTTTGATACCAGTGTTTTTATACACAACAGAGCCCATACCTGTCAAGCTTACAAATCACCTTCATGTAAGAGCAGACTTCCCTTAAATTGTTTCTTTAAATATTTTTTGCTCTTTTGAGATTTTTGATTTGAACATCACAAAAGCTTTTGTATAAATGAATCTGATAAGCCCTTCAAACATTCTATGAAACACAAAGAATGATATTGGGGTTTATGATCATGATCCCTTCAGTTATTCCTGAGTTAAAAAAAAAATACAAACTTTGCATCAGGGGATCTTGTATACTAAGTTTGATGATGGTGGGCTAATAGACATCAGAATCAAAGAATACCACCTTTGAATAACAGCCCGACAGACTTTTACTCAAAGAGTATGTGAGACTGAATTTAAACAACCTCTGAACTGTGATCATTCGATTATTTAAAACACAACATTACCTGATGGTCCTTCTGATGATATCTTTTTTGTACCAACCACAAACTCAATCTGCAATTAAAATTAAAACAAAACTATCCATGGACCTTACCCTTAATTCTATAAGATGCAACGTATATCCCTCACAAATTGAAGTGATCAGAAATGCTAAATGTATAAAGCCACACCGGGTCAGTGATGGCAAATATTCTATCTGTACAGATAGAGCCCTATATACACCAGACGACATCATTCAACTCTGGCTTGTATCAAATAATTAAATTATATCAATATTTATATATGATTAGGAATTATTTGTACACAAGGATAAGCCGATGTGACTTAAACTTTCTTTCCAATTTATCCACCACATATCTACCTTAGCAGTACATATATCCCGGTACATGGTTGTATAGTTTGGTCAATTGCTTTTCAAAGGCATGAAAACTAGCTGACACAACAATAAATATAACTGATATCTTTCCATTAGTAACTATATTTGGATCGTTTTAGAAAGCCTTGTCAATACCTTTGTCTTGTCCTTCTTCTCTTTCTCTCTCTTATTTACTTCAATTGTCTGAGCTTTATCTGAAAATTCATCAAATATAATATTTCTCTACAGAATTTACTGTCAGCATGTTACATTATATAATAATATCTAACTCTGTCTGTCATTTCTTTCTTTTTCTGTTTTATCAATTTCTACTCTCTGGGTTTCTATCAAGTGAAGATTTCAAATAATTAAGATGATACCTGTGCAGTCTAGCACTGATATTGTTAGTGAACAGATTTAAATCATCATCATGATGATACGTACATCCTCACACAGGTGTTACTGAGGGAAGATTTTAAATGATTAAGATGATACCTGTACAGTCTAGCACTGATATTGTTAGTGAACAGATTTAAATCATCATCATGATGATATGTACATCCTCACACAGGTGTTACTGGGGGAAGATTTTAAATGATTAAGATGATACCTGTACAGTCTAGCACTGATATTGTTAGTGAACAGATTTAAATCATCATCATGATGATACGTACATCCTCACACAGGTGTTACTGAGGGAAGATTTTAAATTATTAAGACTCTACAATCTCCATAAGGGAACATGACAAAGCTGACTATACTTGGCAAAGGAAGTTTGACTGTTGGTTCAGATCATATATCAATAGCTTAGTCATGTGTTGACAGCTAAGGTCATATCTAACTGAGGTAAGTATATGCCTTTTGCTAAGATTAGTACCAGGTATCAATTTCACCAGTACACTTTTAACAGAATTTTATTTTTGATTCAGTGAAATAACTTAAGTGTTTTTAAATAGTAGTATGTATACATGTGCATATTCCATTCTGATAATACTACAATGGAAATGTCATTTTGAATCTTCTAAAATCATGAAAATACATGCATCTTACCTAAGGCATCATAGAATGATTCTTTACCCCATCTGTGTGGATCAAAAATTTCCTGTCAAAAAACAAAACATAAAGTAGTCTGGTTAAACAGATTGTGTTCTTCTACCGACATCAAATTACATAGAGACTCGGCCATAACTAACATTTGAAAGTAGCATAAATAATTAAAAAGTAACATTATGTTTTTAATCAAACATGCAATAATGAATACACCCAATTAAGTAAAACCATAAATTATCCTTATACATAATTCATTTCTGTATTATCTGAAAAACATTTTTTTTAATTAAATGCAAGCATTATCACACCAATCAAACCAAGGTGTTTTACATTAAATTCTATAAAAGCTTTACATAGCTAACTGTTAAACGTACCGGAGGATAGTTGGTGCCCTTCTCATCTATGCCACAATATTCTATAAGTTTCTCACATATACTGAAAAGACATACAGTTATACTATTTTAAAAATTTGCAATACATGTATGATAATGAAATGCTTTATATAACATATCAAACCGTTCCTGTTTTACCAGTATGTCTCTTACTATTTCACCAGTATGTAGCTCCTGTTTTGCCAATATCTATATTTTCCTTTTACCAGTATCTAACTTTAAGTGAAATTCAGTTAAAAGTTTGATACCATAATATTGTAAGATAACAAAGATTTCTATCTAATACCAATACTGAACTCATTTCTATAATACCTGGGATTTCGGAAGTCTTTTCTTCTTTCTATGGATGCCACCATATTGAGTCCATCCCTTCGCATCTTCTCATACAATTTAGCAATCTTTTCCTGAGACAAATATATCACACTCATCATACAGACACAGGTATAGGACTGGTATTTATATAATATGGATTTTTACAGTACACATTTGTTTAACATATCATAGGATTATTTGAAAGTTTCTTTTATAAAGAACTTATATTGCTCCGGAGAACCTTCAGACACATTTACAATTCAATGATCCCTTTCACATCACTATAGCTAATAACTAAGATTTTCAAAATGCTCAACCAATGTCCCTTTCTAAAACTAGAGCTCTACAAAATGTCCAGAAGAATAAAACACAGAGTTCTAATTCTGTATAAACCAAGTAACACCCTAATTATATTGTATTGCATCGATTATGACCGTAATCACATTTTCATACAAGTTAATTCACACTCTCAGCTAAACTTTCTTAAAAGATGTACGATACCTGTAAGTGACGGGAACATTTTCCTGTAGGTTCTGGCGGTATTTCTATTTCATCTGCTGCTTTGTTCAACACACTTCTTGATAACAGAGCTACAAATTCAGGATGACAATAATCATGAGAAAGAAACTCTTAACACATTCAAACCTACAAACATAACAAGCAATTGTGATGAATTTATAAAAAATGCAGCTTGTATGACTGTGAATTACTGTACAGAAGATGAAAACTTTAAGAGACAGACATATTACAGATATTCATTGTTCACAATAACTTTCAATTTAATAATAAAACAAGAGACTCGATGACCTAATGGTCATCTAAATGAAAAGGATGTTACACAAGGGAGATAACTCAGTGAAATGGTCTTGTCCATTACAGCAGGTAAAGTATTGTAATCTAAATTAAGGTGTTTGATGGTGAAACCTTTAAGAGGCTTCCTTATGTCTAAATTGGTTACAAATATAAGAAGAGATTTTACAGCATAGACTGAATTTTAACCAGGCTAATAAGTCTGCCAGCCCATATTGAAAAACAAACTTTAAGCTCAATGGGCCAATTTTGTTCAAAATTGGTACAGATGACAACCTGATGGTCCATTCTATGTATTTTTCCCATGGTCTAATTATCATTTCCCTAGGGCCATAAATAGTGATTACAAAGAATTTGGATTTAAGATCAGAACAAGTTTTCGAATGGAATCTCAAATTGGTTGTCTGATTGTCATGGCAGATTTCTAATTACCCTGAAAGGTTACAGCGTATTTTCCGGACCATCCCTCAATCATCCTAACCAAGTTTCAGTTAAATTGGCCTATCAGAGCTTGAGTTCAAATCTGAAATAGTTTTTCAAAACGGTGGCCATGGCAAACTTATTGGATTTCTAATTGACCCAAAAAACAACAACACTTAGTCAGGACCATGTACCAAACATTCTAATCATGAATGAATTTTCATTGAATCCATTTAGCAGAGGAGGAGTTTAAATTTGAAATAGATATTTATATTCCACCAATAGTGGGGAAAATTTTAACTTACATGCTTGTTCTGGGTTTAAAGATGAATTCAGAACATGTTCCTAAAATGCAAAAACATTAGTGTTCTAATTTATGAAATTATCACTTTAAATAGCACATTAAATTTTATAAGTAAAAACACTATTATTAAATGATTCTAAAATTGTCTGTTTGATTGTCATGTAAAAATTGTACTGAAAACTAATAAATAGTCACTATCTGTCATCTTGCTTCTTCAAATTTTCAAAATGGTTAAACTATTTCTTGATTGATTCAAGCTACAGAATTGATAAATGTACTGGTACTTACATTTGACATGAGGTCATCTTGTTCCCCTTCCTCTTCGTCAGATTTTTCTTCCTCATCAGATTCAAGATCATCCTTACCATAGGAAACTAATCTTGTAGCTGTGAAGAATAAAAGAAGCCATTTTTAACAATGTGATAATTAACAAAACCCAGTCAAAATATGGTAAAAAAAAAATCTTTTGGAAAAAAACTTTCCCATCTTGCAACCCTGTATTCAAACTAATAGTAGAATAGCCATAGGCCATAACAAACATGGATGTCTACCATGTGCACAGTTCCTTATCTTGCAGACCGAATTGTTTATGAAATTGCAAACTTGGTAACTTAAATCCATGTGTGATTCATCACCTACATACTTTATAAACAGTTCTCATCTACTAAACCTAGTAATTCAGCTATATTGTTATTTATCGTACAAATCAGTTGGAGCATGTCCATGAAAATTTCTGTCTGTCTCTAACAATTCCAATTTTCAAATCCCCTTTTCCATTGGCTATGATGTTTTAATTATAAAATTTGCTCATGGGTGGTTTATAATGGTCCTGTACCTTGGAGGAGGGCACAGTAAAGCTAAGCCCTTCAACATAATAAGATTACGAAGTATGGGCCTGAACTTCCACTATAGGGCACAGTGAAACTGTGTTCCTTCTAGGGGTCCCTTATGCTTAAGGGGTGACCCGACCTTGTCCAACTCCACCAGAGAACAATCATCTCCAGTATCATAAATAACACCAGATCCAGATCTGATGCTCAAGATTGACCATCTCATCCATGATTCCTGATGAGCTCCAACCTCAAGAGGGGCCTTCATAAAACAGGGAAGAGTGTGGTGAGTTTTGGTGGACATCTCGGCGCAGTCTCTTTACATCCTGATATCAACCTGAACACATGTGAGTGATTTTTCTCAGTATATTCTAATAGATTTTGGGACCTGAGAGCAGTTCCCAACTACATGTTGTGACAACACATACCAAAATCACAACAATTACCATGAAATTTGCTTATCGGGGGTAGTGCAATTCTTGTTGAGTAAAGGCGTTTGAAATTCTGACAGTAAATTGAGATGTATATCATATAAAAAAATAGGTTATCAATATAATAAAAGAGTAATGCATTTATTTTTTATTTGATATATATATCTCAATTTGAATAATGCCCTTATTTTTTTTATATGATACCTATATCTCAATTTACATTCAGAATTTAAAACGCCTTTGGTAATTTAAGTGTAGGTCGTGTAAGTCTCTTCGATTGTAAAACGCCTAAATATTTCGAAATTGAGTATTAGGTATAATTACGCTTTCTTTTAAGGGGCTTCTTCGTCAGTTCTTTATCTGGTAACGTTGCACTGGATCCAGAGTTGTAGTCCTCATCTAAAACGGTCCTGGAAGATGGTCGTGAACTTGGTAACTCAGTCTCTTCATCCGAAATATTATCAATCGCAGATATGGATGGAGAATTCAGCTTGTCTTGGTCGTCATCAGAATTTTCTTCGTCAGCCCTTCCATACATAGCCAACGAAGACATCGCAGCTGAGCTATCGTTCCTTTCCATCATTACTGGTTCGTGCACCAAATCGATATCGTCAACAACACGTCTCGATTGAACGGGAATATTGACTCAAAGTGAAACAATCATTTCAGACAAAATTAATTCGTATTCTTTCTTTCACATATTGATGTATGTATCAGTTCGATCCTTATTTCGATTAATAAAAAGTTCTAAATACAGCCAACATACGTTCAAAATGTGTTGTCTCGATTAAGAGCTCGTTTGACTTTTTTATCTTCACCACTGAAGAGTTCTTGTTCCCAAGTTAAAATTTTCAAATTATTTCTTTTATACACGAATTTCATTTTGTGTGTTTTAACAAAACATTTTAGAAATCAGAATGGTTCGATGGAAATGTATTACAGAACCACAAAAACACACAGAAATCAATAGTTGGTTTTAAACATTTATTTACGGATCCTAAATATGACAAAATATGATCCGCATCATATTTTTTAATTTCCGGCGAATATAACTGACCAATCAAATGAGAGGTTTTATTTAAACCTTAATCCAATCAAATCACACGTCTGTTTTTGGCTCATTTTTTGAAAGGACAAAATTCGACGAATTTCTTATTTCAGCGACAGTATCGACGATAATGAGCCAGGTATTTATTCTAACGGTCGTGAACAGTTGATGTAAATAACCATATGTTAAAGTGAGAGACCAAATTGACGAACCTGAATGTTATTTAATGTCAACATTATGTCCTCTTGGCAGTCTTGCAGCACTGGAGTTCTACAGTAGAAGTGTAGTACTCTATAATATTATGTATACAGTACAATGCAATGGTATACGTATGTAAAGGCCTACTATATATATATATATATATATATACAGAAGCCTGTATGTATACATAGTACTACAGTAGATATCCAGGACACTGCATGAGTACAGGTTGTTGACGTCTGTGACACTTTGCCACACAAACAGAAACACACCCACCAAATAAAGTTTTAAGAACAAAACACACATTTATAAATCCAAACATTTTCCATGTTACTGTTATGACCATAACCACACGTTTTATATATAGCATACGTGATTGGGAAGAATAATAATTGTGAAAGCCGATGGGCATTTGGGGGTGACAACCCTGGAATTTATACTCAAATTTGTGGTCTTCCAGTAACATACAGATACAGAAAATTATAAACCATTGTTTTTAAAGTAGATAAATCACACCCTGCAACGTACTCCATTAACATAAGAGGCCGCTGGTCCTGGCAAAAGTATCTTGCTGTGTAAAACCTCTAGCACTGTTGGAGTACATATGTACCTGCAATGATACAAAATACAAGACTCTTATATTACTACACTTACACGCAACATTATCGATACACATAATACAGATACAAATACAATCTGACAATAAGTACTTAGCTGTAAAATAAGTACATTAAACTGGGAATGATATAATAACATCTTTTACAAATAATGAATCGGAAATAGAAGATATACTATTTCCTTATCTAGAGGTTCCCGAACGAGTGGTGGTGGTTAATCATGTTTATCTAACTCTAGTTAGTTAAATATCAAATTGTATTAAGACACGAGGTTTGCTGAGTGTTTTTTACAATTTGAAAATTAACTAACGAGATCACAAGTTTGGGGACCTGTTTCTCCCATAACGTTAGTATTTTATCTGAAAAAACGCATTTTTCCTTTGGAAAATACATCATGTGTGTTTCTGATGGGGGAACTAGTACTATTGCCATGGAGAAAGACGTCACAATGGAAAATGACGTCGAAAAGCATTGTTACGTGACGACATAAATCAAAGATTGACCAATGAAATCATGTCCAGGGTGACCATGTAACCCACTAGTAGGTAACCGAAAATGTTTACCAACGCCTAGCAGGTTTATCCAATGAGTTAGGAAACATACAGTGGTTGTGGGAGAAATATATAACAATTTACCTTTACACATATATTATATATCATAAGTGTATGGTCTATTGACATTTACTTTTATCATAACTTGCAAATGGTGAAAACCATTCACAGACATAGTCATACAGTCTATTACAGGACATTGAAATGGATATATACATGCATGTATACATATAGGGACAGTTTATAATGAAATAATCATGGTGACACCTCTGTGACAGAAGGCCTTTATATTTACTACATATGTCCAGCTCATCTCATATATATATATGTGATAATGTCTGATACAAGTAATAAGATATGGAATATAAACACAATCGTACCAGCTGGTGTAATGATGGTCAATCAGGTAAACCCTGCATATCATATGCACACATACTGGTACATTTTTTATCTAAAATAATATAAAATAACATCAGACAATGCTTGTGGAATACACAGCACAACAGGCAGGAGAAAAGGCAAATAAACTAGATGGACAGGTAATTAGTTTATAAATCAAGTTCAAACCTCAATTGTACTCCTGTCTCTAGATCTCTTGTCACTGTTGTCGCTCTCTCATCTACCTAATCAAACAAAGTTATCGCACGCCAACCCCCAATAGCCAGTCAAAAATTCAATAAAATTCAATCCTGCCACATCCTCCTTCTGACCAAAGAATATTGTCCTCTATATATGAACTTAAATAAAATACAATCATACATACATTCTTCCTTTTATAACACCCTGTTACATCTGTTTTGCATCCAAAGGAATAATATCCATTTCACCCCAATTTTTGTTAACATCACCCCAGTTTACAGTTCTTTACCCCCAAGTTTGACAACCATTTCGCCCCAAAATCTGTTATCTTATTACATAAAAAGAACATTATTTTGCTTGAACAATTATAATACGTATATCACTATACACTGGGCAGTAACAAGTATAATAAGTATATCACTATACAATGGGCAGTAACAATTTGTTTTTCTTTTCTGGTAAGTAAGAAGTTTAAATCAACAGGCCTGTCAATTTTAACTTCTTACTTACAAGGGAAAAAACTGTGACTGCCAATTATAGTACAGGTAAGTTAGGGCATGATTTACTCACTCCATGGGTATCAGTCAAATTTTTATTTTTATAGCTTATATACAAAGAACGATATACACATAATGTATACTTTCTGTTAATTTTGTAGACTCACATAGATGTACATGTACGCTTAATTGACACACTGTTGTTATAAGTGTTTACCTATGTGCACATGCTTGTGACAATAATTAACAGTTAATTTCACCGAGGGAAATAGTCCTGAACGAGGGGGATCATAAACTTGCTATATCCAGAAATACCCATGCTTCAACTGTTTTATTATACTGATACAAACACTCCCTTACAATATTCTAAATATTATTAGACAACAAATTTTCTGCTGGCCGGAAATTGCCGACATAATTTGATTGCGCTGATTGGTCAATATTCGGTCAGGCCCCGCCAACGACGTCACTCAATTTCCCGCATTTTCCGGGGGAAATAGTTTCAAAACTATCGCACCCCTCCAGACGAACTATTTCCCTGGCATGCAGTTAGAGGGGAAATAGCTTGTTTATGTGGTTACTTTTGTATAGTGTAAAATAAGTAGAGGTATAATAATTACATGTAAATCATGACTTTTGTCAAAATGTATACATACACGGTAATTTATAACACCATGGATTTATAAGAAAATTAATTGTTTATTTTCTATTTTTCGTTAAGTTTATATTTCTTGTGTTTAAAATTTCATTGGGATAATAATTCATGGTTTTTATAAAACCACAAAATAAATCAAATTAAATCCCCAACGAAATATAATGCTTTTACAGTAATTAGGATGTAATGAACACTTTCTAGGCACAGATGAGAGTGAAGAACACACCCAGTTAGAGAACTAGTCTGGTCATCAGACCCTTTCGGACCTGAACTGAAAAACCACTAAAAGCAAGATTCTCAGTCATTGAGACGAGGCGAATGTGGTATGGGTTATGGCTTGTGACATTCAACGCTTAATATTCATTGAGTAATTATTATAAATAAAACCTTTCCACAAGAAACTGGAATATCTAGATAGTAGGTTTAAGGTTTTGTGTTTGAGCGACCGGTTAAAGAGAATTAAAGAGTCTTAGAACTTCAAAATTGGATATATCATAGGTTTCAATATCTAACTGGTCACCTGTTTATAGTCAGCTGCGTAATATGCTATTAATGTCAACTACATTTGAGGGTAAAACAGCTTGTTGAGGGGGAGTTCATACATTCAAATGATGCTTTACATTTTAGCTGAAGAGGCCATTAGCAACACTAAATGGTACAGGTAGTAGGCTGCCACGATTACCAGTACCAAAAAGCTCCTCTCTGAGGATGCCTGTGCCATTGAAGAGAACGAGGAGTCCAGACGAGGTAAATAATTGAGTTAAAACAGGATTACCGCCAACACTAGGTAAATAATAATGGAGTTAAAACATGATTACCACCAACACGAGGTAAATAATGGAGTTAAAACATGATCACCACCAACACAAGGTAAATAATGGAGTTAAAATATGATCAACACCAATACGAGGTATATAATGGAGTTAAAATATGATTACCCCCAACACTAGGTATATAATGGAGCTAAATATGATTACCACCAGCACGAGGTATATAATGGAGCTAAATATGATTACCACCAACACGAGGTATATAATTGAGTTAAAATATGATCACCACCAACACGAGGTAAATAATGGAGTTAAAACATGATTACCACCAACACGAGGTAAATAATGGAGTTAAAACATGATCACCCCCAACACAAGGTATATAATGGAGTTAAAACATGATCACCACCAACACGAGGTATATAATGGAGTTAAATATGATCACCACCAACACGAGGAATATAATGGAGTTAAATATGATTACCACCAACACGAGGAATATAATGGAGTTAAATATGATTACCACCAACAAGAGGTATATAATTGAGTTAAAATATGATCACCACCAACACGAGGTAAATAATGGAGTTAAAATATGATTACCACCAACACTATGTATATAATGGAGCTAAATATGATTACCACCAACACGAGGTATATAATTGAGTTAAAATATGATCACCACCAACACGAGGTAAATAATGGAGTTAAAACATGATCACCCCCAACACAAGGTATATAATGGAGTTAAAACATGATCACCACCAACACAAGGTATATAATGGAGTTAAAACATGATCACCACCAACACAAGGTAAATAATGGAGTTAAAATATGATCACCACCAATACGAGGTATATAATGGAGTTAAAATATGATTACCTCCAACACTAGGTATATAATGGAGCTAAATATGATTACCACCAACACGAGGAATATAATGGAGTTAAATATGATTACCACCAACACAAGGTAAATAATGGAGTTAAAATATGATCAACACCAATACGAGGTATATAATGGAGTTAAAATATGATTACCCCCAACACTAGGTATATAATGGAGCTAAATATGATTACCACCAACACGAGGGATATAATTGAGTTAAAATATGATCACCACCAACACGAGGTAAATAATGGAGTTAAAATATGATTACCACCAACACGAGGTATATAATGGAGTTAAATATGATTACCACCAACACAAGGTAAATAATGGAGTTAAAATATGATCACCACCAATACGAGGTATATAATGGAGTTAAAATATGATTACCACCAACACTAGGTATATAATGGAGCTAAATATGATTACCACCAACACGAGGTATATAATGGAGCTAAATATGATTACCACCAACACGAGGTATATAATGGAGTTAAATATGATTACCACCAACACGAGGTAAATAATGGAGTTAAAACATGATTACCACCAACACTAGGTAAATAATAGAGTTAAAACATGCAACACTAATGTACAGTTCACAAAAAATATAAATCTAAAATGAATATTGATAGTTGCTTGAAATGATATTCAAATTGGTTCTAGCTTACATATTGCCCACCTTCTTAAATGACCTAAGCTATCAACAAGATGGTAAACAAAATGAAACTAAAGCTGTAAGTATTTTCAAAAACATTTTTTACATGAACAGCCCATGCGCCCTAGGTAATGTGAGGTGGACGGCAACCATTAAGCTTCAAACTGTCCAATTAGTATAGTAAATGTCAATAGTAACAGTCAATCATGATTTTCTAGGATCGATCATAGTTTGAATTTAACATGAAAACTTTAAAGAGTTATTGAGATTTGGAAAAGTCCTAAATAAAAAAATAAACTGATTGTGCTCATATCTTTTACTATAAATTCCCAACATTATCACATACCTGGTGATGCACAACACTGATTTGACAACTCAAAAATCTATTAAGGATTATTGCAATACAAAATGTGGTTGTCATTGAGGTTACTGAAAGTGTAATCTTGGAACTTCTTAATCTATGAATTTGACATGTTCACTTACGGTTGTTTCTTCAGTTGCCATCAGAAAAAAGGATATGTCTGGAAAACCGATCCTCAACAGGTTCAAATTCAAGTTCCTGCAGTGTTTCCAGTGTAAGCTCACAAAAATCGGGATCAAATCTTCGATCCCAAACATCTGGATCAAGTCTCCGTTCACAAACATCGGGATCAAATTTACGAGCAAACAAATATGTTTTGAATAAACCTAAAGCTGTGCCAGTGAAACCTCAACCCGCAACCAGGGCTGCTCCTTCCAGGACTGGACTGACAAGGTCTAATTCTGTTGTAGTAAAGTCAGCAATCAAACCTGGTAAGTTTTCACTAGATACAGTGTCTGGAAAAAACAGAGTGCTTCATCCCCAAATAATTTTCCTTTATCTCTATTGTGATATTGTTTCCATGATCTTTTGGTTCAATTTTCTTGTAGTCCGTTTAGGCATATAACATTGTCTATAACTGTCACTGGCTTAGGTGGAAATTGTTCAATGCCTATGTTTTGCTAATTTTGGAATTATTATAAAAGGAATTGATAAGTTTATGTCATAATTATCACTTAATTATATATTGTGTATATGTATTTTATAAGCCAGTGATAAATATACTATGAGCCTTGAGTCCTTTACTCATAGACCTTTGATAAGATTCATAGAAGTTCTGAAAACACTTAAATTCAAAGTTGTGGGATCCATTGTTTTTAGCAATACAATTGAAAAGGACACATGAAAATAAATTGTAAATTGCCCACTGTAAGCCCGCCAAAAGCTGAGCGTGTCAATGTTATTGCATTGTCCATCCATTTACTTAACCTTGTGGCCACAAACATTCCCACAATTTTAACAGAATTTTTTGAGAATTTGTGTGTGATGAGAATGGAATGAAGATTTGCATGTGATATTATATATTAATGTGTTGTGTATATATATATATATATATATATATATTCAATATATGCAATTATGCATGTATGAAGAGAAAAAAGGTAAATGGAAGCCATTCTTATTTAACAAATTTGAAAACAATTTAACAAGAATGGGTTAATAAAGTAATTTCCTATTTCAACACATCTTATGAAATAATATAACACAAATGTAGTTGTTGGTTCATCTTGATGATGTTTATAATGAGCTGTTACCATCTGTTGTCATCTGTCGGTACTTTCAATATTGGTATCTGTGATGCAACGGCCTTAGAACATCTTCTACAACATTAACATTTGCCAAGGAAAACAAAATCTGTCAATACACAGGGCCACTTTGGGGTGCTTTGCAATACACTGAGTGATATTTGAATGTGAAATAGTAGTAATCATCTTTCTAAAGGATCAAAGGGTTAAAATTATGATATTTGGCCAGTATCTGGTGGCATTGAGTGCTTAAAAAAAAGAGTATTTAAAAAGTAATGACCTTGGCTCATATTCATGGTCACAAGGATCAAATTTGTTAAAAACACTCAAACTACATCTTCTGAAGAACAATAGACCTAGAGTAAAGATATATTGCAAGTAGATTGCTGGTATGGGGTATGAACTTGACACATATTCAATATCACACGGTCAAATTCGTCAAAAAATTTCTCCTGAAGAACCAAATGGCCTTAAGTCATGATAAATAGCCAGAAGCTTGCTGAAAAATAGTGATAGGAAGTTTGTGAAAAAGAAGGAAAGAAACATTAATTAAATCAGGTGAGCATATTCAGTCTTCACAGAAATGAAATTGCCAACACCCTGAATTTTGGACTTTTTTAATGAAATATTGGTATGCTTTTTGTGTAGTTGTTACAAGAACTACAATGGTTTCCCGAGGAGGTCCACCTGCCTCAACCAGAAACAGGACAACAGGATCTTCTGGTCAGCAAGCACAAAAGGCTCCAGGTAATATACAGAACCTTCTGTTTTGCAAATCTTGAAGGCTCTAGGTAAAATAGTAACACATGACCATTTGGTCAGCAAGCACTGAAGCTTTTAAGCCTCTGGGTAATTTTCAGGACCTTGTGATCAGCATAATAGTGATATAGTAGGAAGTTGTTGTAGAAGAAAAGACCTGTGAAGAGCTTGGTGAATTTAATTATGCTTTTTTCACCTACATATGTAGGATCTTAACTTGAGTAAATGACAGCAACCTGCTGAAAATATAGTAAAAACAAACTTATTTGCATTTGAAAATTTTTCATTCAAGTCAATAGAAAAGCTGCCTTCATCTTCAAATAAATTAAGAGAGAATATGCTGAAAAGCTTTCTAGTTTTCTAAACAAGATCTGTCATTCATTTATTTAAACGTTTCACTGACTGAATATATAATTCTTATCAGAAAGTAGTGTTGGTGGTGGTGGAGGGAAGAAGCGTCAAGCATGGGACTTAAAAGGGCGCTTACAGGACATGGAGTTAATCCTCAGAGAGCAGAAAAGCTCCAGTTCTGATCTGATGATGCAACTCCAGAGCAACAATAACCGCATCTTCTCCTTGGAGAACCAGAACAGCCACCTTTCTGGTACAGTGGCCCAAAAGGAACAGGTTGCCACGGCTGCCTCTGAGGAGATTTCATTCCTAAAGAAACAGATCAGGTAAGACTAAATGTTATTATTACCCAATAGTCTTTAAATTATGATTAGACGTTTTTGACCGTTTCTGTTTTAACATCATTTCATGCAGCATTGATACTAATATGTACATGTATTTGGTAATAAAACAATTGTTTCAATGCTATTTGGGGAACAAAACTACCATCGCTCGGTAGGGTGGAACTGCATGTTTGCCAGGGCTTCCTCTACCTCAGGATGATAGATTTGACTGTTCCCAAAATATCCATGAAACAATTGTATACTGTTTCCTTTTACATTTTTGTTGACCTATCACATCTTATACATCAGTACACAGTGAGAATAGGGGTGGAGTGATAGGGTCAATTTACAAGGAATACTGATCAGCATGTTATGTGTTAGTTTGGTTTTAACTGGAATCTGGGCAGTGTACACATTAGTAAAGTATGTTTTATTTATTTTTTTAGGGAAGAGGAAGAAAAGTTTGATGGTATAAGAAGAAAACTGCAGGGAGAAATCAGTGATCTGACTTTCTTGAAAGAAACACTAGACCGTCAAAAGCAACAGTTAGATGGTGAAGTCACTGCTGCTAATGCCGAGATCAATGGCCTCAAGACGACTGTAGCTCAGATGACTTCTGCTCAAGCTGGCATGTCTGCTGAGTTAGAGGCAACAAAGGTGAAGAATGACAGTCACTATTAACTTTATCAAGCTCAGCAGGGACCATAAATTCATTGTAACAGGTTTTTATATTCCTGATAAAATCCATGTGTTGGATTCTGTCAGGTGTTTCAGGTTTTAATCGTGTTACAAGTCTGTGTGTCAATCCTTGTCAGATGTTTTAGTGGTCAATTTACATTTAATACATCTTTTGGGATATTTGTGAGCCTTATCTTTACATTTTAAATCTTATCTTAAATGCAGATGTATGCTTGTTAATGTAGTCCATGTGATAAGTACTTACGATTAAGTGATCATATTAATCCAGTCTGATGTATATAATGAATATTGGCCATCATAGAAAATATTTTTTAACATCACTTCATCATAATGTTTTCATTTCATTGTCAATAACGAGACATTTCCTACTACAGGTTTCACTGGAGGCTGCCATGAGAGAAGGCAGACAGAAGGATGAGGAGATACGCAGACTAAAAGGAGTTGTCAGGTCACAAGAGGAGACCATTGAGGATTTCAATGCTAAGTTCAGGGAACATGAGACAGCACGGCGTAAACTCCACAACACCATACAGGAGCTGAAGGTAATACAGAGCTTTATAATATTATATATACAACAGGGATTATGTAGTATGTAGGACAGACAAGGTGGATTAACTTTGTGACAGTTTTAATTTCCCAGTAACCTGCAAACACTACAGATTGAATTTTCTCGGGGCCACAAATTCAACAGTGTCCTACCACTTCGCTGTTTTTTCTCATGCTTTATACAGTGTTACCAGCCATTATAGCTTATCTGGATGTCAGATTTTGTTAAATAACAAATAATGTTTTATTGAAATATATGATAGAATTGATAATTTCAACGAGTTCATTGAAATTTAATCCTTTAATGTAACTATGATGTAGCACATGTCTGTCATTACAATGTTACAAGGCTAACATCTGTATGAAGGGTAACACTGCTACATTTACAGGGTAACATTCGTGTCTTCTGTCGTGTGCGCCCTCTTCTGGGGGACGAATGTTTGGGTAACAATGGAGACGTCCAGCACATGAACTTCCCTGACGTGGACCAAAAGGTCCTGGAGCTGGAGAAAATCGGAGACATGGCCATGAACGAGGTAAGATGCTGCTTCAATGTACAGTAATGATAGACATGATTTTTTTGTATTAAAGGAACTAGGATACAGGTTGGTTTATATTTTGAAAAGGGAACTTCAAGTTGATAGAGTTGATAGTAAATCTTAACTATCTAAACTACTGTTGTCAGACATTTAAAAACAAGAAGTGATACTTTATATCCTGTTCAAAAAAGGTTGTGGTTAAGGTTGCTGAAATGTTGAGTAAGCAGCTTACTTTGAAAACTTCAGTTGATGATATTGTGTCATTGCAACAAGACAACAATTGCTTGTTTTCCATTGACTTAGTGTTATGACTTGCCACAGTGTTTTCCAATAACTTGGTATTATGACTTGCCACATTTTTCAATGACATGATGTTACAACTTGCCACTGTTTTTCCTACATGACTTGTTATGACGCCTTGCTACAATGTCAATGTTTACAAAGGACATGTCATGTAATGACTTGGTTTTTTTTTGTTTTAGAAGTTGGTTTCCTGAAGGGTATGAGTGTCAAACAGTGTCTGAATTCAGGCTGTCAACAGTTCTTTTTTTTTCATTGCTGTTGTTTCTAATTTTTAGAGTTGTCTGGCAGCAAGTCGACGAGGGAACAAATTTGAGTTTTCGTTTGACAGAGTTTTTCAACCATCTTCTTCACAAGCTGAGGTGTTTGAAGAGATTTCACAATTAATACAGGTAAGTCATCACACATCACCCTAATTTATTATTTTAGTGCTGAGCTTTGTAACTTATCTAAGATTTAATGATGCTGTTCATACTTCTTTGTTGGTGTTAACTAGTATTAGTAATCTTCTTGTTTACAGAAATCTGAAGTAAAGGTAATAAAATGTATCATTGATAGATAATTTGATGGTAATGAATCTCCATTTGATTACATTTTATACGTCATTTTCTTGTTGGTCTTGTTTCTTAATGGTCATTTGGTGGGATTTGTTGAAATAAAGGTGTAGTACATTGATACTACTGTTACATTAATTTTCATGTCTTCTATCTTGTGTATCTCATTCACAGAGTGCCCTAGATGGATACAACGTATGTATATTTGCCTATGGACAAACAGGTTCCGGAAAAACCTATACCATGGAGGGAGGATCAGTTAATGATCCAGAAAGTCAGGGGATGATCCCTAGGGCTGTTGTTCAGATCTTCGAGAGCATTAAGGAGATGGAGGCAAAAGGATGGAAGGTAACCTTTCCCTGTATCACTATAACCATAAGCTTCCTGAAGTTATATTTGGCATCAGATCCAACTTAATTTGTTTGATCACTTTGTATACTTGTGTTTTTGTTTTATACACATAATTCTCTATAGTAAAATAATACAACTTTTTTATAACTGTTTAAATGATTTATTTATATTAAGTGGACTGGTCCAACATGTTGACAGGTTATTTTTTGGAAAGGTATAACAAATCAGATTCTGACATGGGTTTCAGCCACCATTTGTTTTGTTAGACCTTCAGCCAGATTTTCCCCCTGTCTTCTTTGCCTTTTAATAGCAATAGTCTGTCCGTTAGGTCCGACAAAGTGTATATTGCATTTAATTATAATGCCTACCCATTTAACATAGTTCTACCATTTGTAGCACAACTGCTATATTTTTGACTATCAACAGCATGAAAATTAACAGCCAATTTTCCTTTGGTTTGTTACAGTACAATATGGAGGCGTCTTTCCTGGAAATTTACAATGAAACAATCCGAGACCTGCTAGGGAATGGCAAAGATGAGCTCAAACATGAGATCAAGCTGACAGGAATGGGCAGTAATGATGTCATTGTGACTAACCTTACCCTTGTCACAGTGGAAACAGACACACAGGTATTGCATTCTGGGTCACCTCTGTTATTGTCACGGACTAACCTTACCCTTGTCAAAGTGGAAACAGACACACAGGAATTACATTCTGGGTCACCACTGTTATTGTCACTGACTAACCTTACCCTTGTCACAGTGGAAACAGACACACAGGTGTTACATTCTGGGTCACCACTGTTATTGTCACTGACTAACCTTACATTTGTCACAGTGGAAACAGACACACAGGTATTGCATTCTGGGTCACCACTGTTATTGTGACTGACTAACCTTACACTTGTCACAGTGGAAACAGAACACAGGTATTGCATTCTGGGTCACCACTGTTATTGTCACTGTGACTAACCTTACCCTCATCACAGTGGAAACAGACACACAGGTATTGCATTCTGGGTCACCACTGTTATTGTGACTGACTAACCTTACACTTGTCACGGTGGAAACAGACACACAGGTATTGCATTCAGGGTCACCGCTGTTATTGTCACTGTGACTAACCTTACATTTGTCACAGTGGAAACAGACATACAGGTATTACATTCTGGGTCACCACCGTTATTGTCACTGACTAACCTTATCCTCATCACCGTGGAAGCAGAACACAGGTATTACATTCTGGGTCACCACCGTTATTGTCACTGACTAACCTTATCCTCATCACCGTGGAAGCAGAACACAGGTATTACATTCTGGGTCACCACTGTTATTGTGACTGACTAACCTTACACTTGTCACAGTGGAAACAGACACACAGGTGTTACATTCTGGGTCACCACTGTTATTGGCACTGACTAACCGTACCCTCGTCACAGTGGAAACAGACGCACAGGTATTACATTCTGGGGCACCACTGTTATTGTCACTGACTAACCTTCCCCTCCTCACAGTGGAAACAGAACACAGGGATTACATTCTGGGTCACCACTGTTATTGTCCCTGACTAACCTTACCCTCAGCACAGTGGAAACAGAACACAGGTCTTACATTCTGGGTCACCACTGTAATTGTCACTGTGACTAACCTTACATTTGTCACAGTGGAAACATACATACAGGTATTACATTCTGGGTCACCGCTGTTATTGTCACTGACTAACCTTCCCCTCCTCACAGTGGAAACAGAACACAGGGATTACATTCTGGGTCACCACTGTAATTGTCACTGTGACTAACCTTACGGTGGAAACAGACACACAGGTATTACATTGTGGGTCACCACTGTTATTGTCACTCTGACTAACCTTACCCTCGTTACAGTGGAAACAGACACACAGGTATTAAATTCTGGGTCACCACTGTTATTGTGACTGACTAACCTTACACTTGTCACGGTGGAAACAGACACACAGGTATTAAATTCTGGGTCACCACTGTTATTGTGACTGACTAACCTTACACTTGTCACGGTGGAAACAGACACACAGGTATTAAATTCTGGGTCACCACTGTTATTGTGACTGACTAACCTTACACTTGTCACAGTGGAAACAGAACACAGGTATTACATTCTGGGTCACCACCGTTATTGTCACTGACTAACCTTATCCTCATCACCGTGGAAGCAGAACACAGGTATTACATTCTGGGTCACCTCTGTTATTGTCACTGTGACTAACATTACCCTCGTTACAGTGGAAACAGACACACAGGTGTTACATTCTGGGTCACCACTGTTATTGTGACTGACTAACCTTACACTTGTCACGGTGGAAACAGACACACAGGTATTGCGTTCAGGGTCACCGCTGTTATTGTCACTGTGACTAACCTTCCCCTCATCACAGTGGAAACAGAACACGGGTGTTGCATTCTGGGTCACCACTGTTATTGGCACTGACTAACCGTACCCTCGTCACAGTGGAAACAGAAGCACAGGTATTACATTCTTGGTCACCACTGTTATTGTCACTGACTAACCTTATCCTCATCACCGTGGAAGCAGAACACAGGTATTACATTCTGGGTCACCACTGTTATTGTCACTAACTAACCTTACCCTCGTCACAGTGGAAACAGACACACAGGTATTACATTTTGGGTCACCACTGTTATTGTCACTGTGACTAACCTTACCCTCGTTACAGTGGAAACAGACACACAGGTATTACATTCTAGGTCATCACTGTTATTGTCACTATGACTAACCTTACACTTGTCATAGCTCATATTGATGCAAACACATTATACTTAGGTTGCTCTAGTGAGTGTACAAAAATACAACTTCAGATTTCATATGTGTGGTAACTTTATCTTTACTGAGATATGATGTTCATAAGGAGGATATTCCTGATATGGTTGATTGTGATAAATGTCAATTAGAGTATGTTTATTCTTAAGTCTCAAATCTACAAACTGCAGCAAGTAGAGTATGTTTGAGGATAAAGTCACTAGATGATATAATTATAATCGTTTCTCACGAGTCAAATAGCTTATATTCCATAACACATATATCAAAGTGAAAGTAGTATTTAAGATGTGGGAAAATTCAATGTAAGACATGACAAAGTAATGCAAGCGTGATATTGACTGGTATTAATGTCATGCCACCCTTTAAAGCAGTTCAATAAAAATAAAACATACTTGCTTGGCATTGCTTTTCAGGTCAAAGGTCTAGATCATGGTGACATTTCTTTTTTTTATTTATTTATTTCAATCCAACAGCATAAGGCCCACTTACAGGGTGATAACAAATAACAGTTTACAATCAATTATATATTACAATATCACAGACCCAATGTTAAATTATCAAACAATACAGACTATGTTTAATGAATTAAAAAAATATCTGTTTTATTTCTGTTTGAAACATTTAGTGATCCGCTAAAAAGACTACCTGGCTGAACATTGAGGAAGTTAAATTTTCTGACACCTAATTAAAACGCTGTTTTTCCTTATGTCCATACGACTCTTGGTGGGATAAAAAACGCACCATACAGCTGAACTTATGATACCTGTTTGGAACCATTAAATTGATTTGTTCAATAAAATATGGACAGTCGAACATACTGTTTTCACACAAGAGGTGGTAAATTCAAATTTCTTCATAAGATAAAACATCACAGTCAATCTTTGCTTCAAAGCATGAACATTTTAAGAAATTTTCTCTCAGAACTACTTCTAATTGATGTGCCAGAGTAGTTCGATATGGACACCGTATTTCACAAACATATTCTAGTTTGCTTTTGACCATACTAATATATAAAGAATGGATGACAGATGTATCAGAAAAAAATCTACATGTATGTTTTAGGAAGCCAAATGTTTGCATTGCCTCGGATACCATTTTTTTTATGTGAAGATTAAAATTAAAAGTAGATGACATCCATAGGCCAAGGTTGTTGATACAAACAGAAAACTGTTGGGATTGCTTTTCAGATTCAAAAGTTAAGGTCACTGTTAGTATAAATAGTAACTTGGCTTCTGTGTGACAACTCACTTGGCCAATATAATTCAAACTTCATAGACTGCATATACCAACCAAAAGTTCTTGCATGGAATTGCCTTTTAGCTTTAAAGGTCAAAGGTTAGGATCACCTACTGAAAATTGAGCATAACATTCTGAACCATACAAATATCTCAGCACAGTATCAGAAATCAAACCATTGTAGTGATCTACAATACTTAAGTATAGGTCATTGTTTGACACGCTATAACTATTTCCATAGATCACCTCTTTGCTGAAGAAAGCCTCACACAACAGAGCTGTTGCAGAGACCAAGTGTAATGAACACTCGTCCCGGAGTCACAGTGTGTTACGACTCAAACTGACCGGAGAAAACTCACTCAGTGGAGAGGCTTGTGTTGGTCAGTAGTATTCAGTGACAAAGCTTGTCATATTTGAATTTTAAAATTCACCATTTGATAGAGGAAATTAATAGTTGCCCATTGGAAAACATATTTATTTCACAAGTGTCACAGAAAACCAATGTTTTTACAAGTAGGCCCATAAGTAAGAAAATTGAAAGTATTCTAATACACACAAAAAACTGCCCCATTGCATTTTCCAATAAATTGATGTTTTAACTGGGTTTTTTGTAATGTTATATTGGTATATATGATGTATAGTTTCATTATATGACACATTCTAAAGGGAGATGCTTGATCCATTTCAAACAGCTTATATTAGCATTTATTATTCATAACAAACTGGTGAATCTCAATCCGAATCTTTTCAGGGCACAACACGTTTGTATCAAGATTTTCCAATAGTAATTATATACAGGTACTAACCCTATTTGATTCCAGATTATATACAATGATTAATTTACCCTACTTGACTCCTCCTGTACAGGAACTCTAAATTTAGTTGACCTGGCAGGGAGTGAAAGACTGAAGGAATCGGGGTCAGAAGGTCAGCGACTGAAGGAGACTCTCAGTATCAACAAAAGCTTGAGTACTCTAGGAAATGTCATCATGGCCCTCGGTAACAAGGTAAGGGACGCTGAGTATCAACAAAAGCTTGAGTACTCTAGGAAATGTCATCATGGCCCTCGGTAACAAGGTAAGGGACGCTGAGTATCAACAAAAGCTTGAGTACTCTAGGAAATGTCATCATGGCCCTCGGTAACAAGGTAAGGGACGCTGAGTATCAACAAAAGCTTGAGTACTCTAGGAAATGTAATCATGGCCCTCGGTAACAAGGTAAGGGACGCTGAGTATCAACAAAAGCTTGAGTACTCTAGGAAATGTCATCATGGCCCTCGGTAACAAGGTAAGGGACGCTGAGTATCAACAAAAGCTTGAGTACTCTAGGAAATGTAATCATGGCCCTCGGTAACAAGGTAAGGGACGCTGAGTATCAACAAAAGCTTGAGTACTCTAGGAAATGTCATCATGGCCCTCGGTAACAAGGTAAGGGACGCTGAGTATCAACAAAAGCTTGAGTACTCTAGGAAATGTAATCATGGCCCTCGGTAACAAGGTAAGGGACGCTGAGTATCAACAAAAGCTTGAGTACTCTAGGAAATGTCATCATGGCCCTCGGTAACAAGGTAAGGGACGCTGAGTATCAACAAAAGCTTGAGTACTCTAGGAAATGTAATCATGGCCCTCGGTAACAAGGTAAGGGACGCTGAGTATCAACAAAAGCTTGAGTACTCTAGGAAATGTCATCATGGCCCTCGGTAACAAGGTAAGGGACGCTGAGTATCAACAAAAGCTTGAGTACTCTAGGAAATGTAATCATGGCCCTCGGTAACAAGGTAAGGGACGCTGAGTATCAACAAAAGCTTGAGTACTCTAGGAAATGTCATCATGGCCCTCGGTAACAAGGTAAGGGACGCTGAGTATCAACAAAAGCTTGAGTACTCTAGGAAATGTAATCATGGCCCTCGGTAACAAGGTAAGGGACGCTGAGTATCAACAAAAGCTTGAGTACTCTAGGAAATGTCATCATGGCCCTCGGTAACAAGGTAAGGGACGCTGAGTATCAACAAAAGCTTGAGTACTCTAGGAAATGTAATCATGGCCCTCGGTAACAAGGTAAGGGACGCTGAGTATCAACAAAAGCTTGAGTACTCTAGGAAATGTCATCATGGCCCTCGGTAACAAGGTAAGGGACGCTGAGTATCAACAAAAGCTTGAGTACTCTAGGAAATGTAATCATGGCCCTCGGTAACAAGGTAAGGGACGCTGAGTATCAACAAAAGCTTGAGTACTCTAGGAAATGTCATCATGGCCCTCGGTAACAAGGTAAGGGACGCTGAGTATCAACAAAAGCTTAGTACTCTAGGAAATGTCATCATGGCCCTCGGTAACAAGGTAAGGGACGCTGAGTAGCAACAAAAGCTTGAGTACTCTAGGAAATGTAATCATGGCCCTCGGTAACAAGGTAAGGGACGCTGAGTATCAACAAAAGCTTGAGTACTCTAGGAAATGTAATCATGGCCCTCGGAACAAGGCAAGCTCTGAAGCAGTGTCAACAGGAGTTTGAGTACACTAGGTAATGCCGATGGTTATATGTTAGAGTATACACAAGGAAATGTTATGATTAGGTAAGGTCTGCAGCGTTTCAGTACTACAATGTAATTGTAATTTTCAGTATGACACCCTAGTTTCCTAGAGCCAAAACAGAAGGAAATGTAATCATGGTCATTGGAATGTTACATTGAGGTTTATTCACTGTCTCTGCCCTCTGAGATAATTTCTGTAGGTACTTATATACTATAGCCCAAATAACCTAATACACATACATGTATGTAGGCATTGGTCATGTAATGAAACAAAACATCAATCACAAATTACTGTAAAATAGACAGTTTTTTTAATTGTACATGAACTTCAAAACTCAAGTTTATTGAAAAATATTTGGGTTACAATATTGATAGTACAGTTTGTGCATGTATTGAAAAGAAACTTTTATTTTTAATACCGATTGATATGAATTATTCTTCATCATTAATAGAGATATATTTGTGTTTCAGGATAACCATATTCCCTACAGGAACTCCAAGCTGACGTATCTTCTTCAGAACTCACTGGGTGGTAACAGCAAAACCCTTATGTTTGTCAACGCCTCCCCCAAGGAGGAATGCTTTCAGGAAACACTCAACTCCTTACGTTTTGCAACCAAGGTAACTTACATTTTTTCCTTTTACCTAGAACATATTGTCAATTTATTTCATTTACGTCACAAATGTGGAATAGGAAGAACTTATTAGCTGCTAAATCTGTCATTTCTGATATCATGTGCAAAATGTTCCAGGGATGGTTGTATGGCTACATATGTGCTCCAGAGTTAGATGTCAGAATGGTTTTATGTCGCAGGGGGGAATGAATATCTGTATGCCCCAAAATTAGATGAATGGCTGTATTCTCTAGGCTGGAGCAAGTGGATATATGTCCTTTGGTTGAGGGACTGTTTATATTTCTGAGAGTTTGGTGAATGTATATACAATGCAATATACATACCCTCAGATTGGGTGAATAGTCTCCCTCAGGGTTCTGTTGTTTTACCTCCTACAGTGCCAGTAATACTATCTGTTTTTTGCAGGTGAACCAGTGCAATATTGGTACTGCCCAAAAGAAATCAAAATGAAAAGATGGGGAAGACACAAGGAACGTTGTTAGGTATGAGAGGAGAGTGGAAGAGTATGAGAGGAACGTTGTTAGGTATGAGAGGAGAGTGGAAGAGTATGAGAGCTAGAGTGCTGTAGTTTTATCTTTGTCAATGATATTACACTTGTATCTGTATAATTGTTGAAGAGTACATATAAATATGAATACGTTTTTTTATGTCTTGTTCGCTTTGTCAGATCTTTTTAACAAATTTTTATATGATAAAGATTAGTTCTGATACCAAGCTAGTTTCAACTTCTATATTAATATTTTTATATAGGTGATTTCAACATGAAGTAGGATTATTTTTGGAATTCTCCCATCTGCTGAAATAGTATTCCTACGCTGACAAAATAATATTAGCTGAAATTTTCATGTCAACAATTCTTAGTTTGTAAATAGAGAAATATTTGTAATTTATTTGGATTACTTTTCTATTAATACATAATCATCATGAAGAGTAAGACTCCACTGTGTTACCATTATGAACACTTGGTCCATTAACTTCCCTGAATCTCAACGTGATGAGGAGCCACCCACAGACTTGTATATCACTGCCCCCATTGTCTATACAATACAATATGCATTCTTCTTCCCTCACTCTACCAGAATTTTATGAAGGTGGGGTAAAAAGTTCATTTTATTTCCTGTTTTAATATGTCTGATGATTTTAATTATAGTCAATTACAAGAGGAAATGAATAAATTATAAATGGTATCTAGGTCTCGAGAAGAAGTGAATTCTACTATATCAATATTTTATATCAAAGTTCAGGGCCAAATAGTTTTGTAGCTCACTGATTATTTAAAGTATGTTTATAAGGATTATCAGGTCAATTTTCTTTTTATGAGGAGGGGGCTTATGACGTGTCAAATTTACTATTTACTGTGTCTACTGACATAGACAACTGGTATGCACAAGTTTTTAGTTGTTTTAACCAGTTTAAAAAAGAGAAATAATCAGAGCATAGTTAAACATGTGTTTTTTAGCTCACCTGTCCGGATTGGCTGTATTGGTATTGAAATTAGTTGCTGTCCTTTGTCCCAAACATTCTCTTTAAATGACTTCTCATGAACCACTTCATGCAAGATCAACCACATCTTTATTTCAGAAAATGCACTGGCCCCATTTGAGGCAAACAAGCGGTAAAATTTGTTGCATCTCAAAAATCTTACCAACCCCGTAGTTTTATTTTGCTATTCATCATGCAGTAACCTTAGTATATGTTCAACAAAGTTCGCAAAGGAAAGTAAACCAGACACTAGGAAGCACTTTGCAACACATTGTTTAATACTTGAGTGTTAAAAACTTAAATGCTCATACATCTTGGCCCTGAAAGAATGTATTGTTGCCCAATAGAATATAAGAAAAGTTATTTGGGCAGAAATTTGCAAAGAGCTTGCTATAAAAGTTGTGAACATAATCTACTTTCAAGGTCAAAGACGGACCCCTTAAATCAGTTGAGTGTGTTCAAGCCCCTCGGGCCTCTTGTATTTTTATAATGACAGTGAATTGGCTTTTTCTTGATGACCTAGTGTAAGTGGTTCATGTGCCTACTGTGTGTTTGATGAATGGGAGATGTGTTATTAATATATCACTTTGTATAACATTTCATAGTCGATTATCATAACTTGCGATCTTTTTTTCTTGTTGAGTTAAAATCAGAAAGGCAGCTTTTGTAATATGCATAAGATGTTCATAATGAATATGTGCCGATGTCTTGGAGAGTAATTGAAAAGTTTGAATTGTAGCGATATATCTCTGGCTGCCCTCTCTGTATGGAGGGAATTGATTGTTACACCTTTGCAAATACATCATTTTATCATGTGATTTTCTGTTATATTCAAGAAAAGAGAGAGAGTTGTTTCTATTTAGATCAGGGATGCATTGCTTCTATAGGTGATAGGAATTTTCTGTACATGTTGCATTGCCTTTGTATTTATATCAATAGTCAACTTTGAAATACTGGTACAATATCTATGTGTATTTAGCTGATCATTGAGAAAGGATCATTCATTGTATCCATGCTAGCATTGCTACTTACCTATTGTAAGGTGAAGGACTAGACTCTTTGTCCTTTGTTCTTTAATTGTTCTTTCTTTCTTTCTCTCATTCACTACACTTTTTCTGTCAGAAGTCTATTTTGTTTCTGTCTTTGCTTTCTCTCCTTTTGTGTCACATTTTCTTTCTTAACAATATTTTAAGATATGTATGTTTGTATGGGATAATAATATGAAACACAATTTGTCCTTTTAATTAAACTAGGTATAGAAGAAATAAGGCCTGAGGAATTGCTTGATAAGAATATCTTCAGCAAGGTTTACCTAGTAATACATGTAATCTTACATCATGTGATTCCAATCATCTGATATAGCTTTTACACAATTAATGCTTTTAATACTTTGATAGAAAATGAATGATTTTTTGCCTGAATGTAAAGAGATGTTTTGAGATATATAGATAGATTATAGAAATTGAAATATTTGAGAATATTGTAAGATCCCTGCTAGGAACATTCAGGCAAGTTTAGTGTGATTAAGTAACATGCTACAATAACATCCTAAATAAAGCAGGATTATATGGCAATATATCCCATTTATAGAATACAGTATGCCACACAAAAAGTTATTAATAAAAAATGTTTTTAGAGGAGGGGGGGGGGGGGAATTAATTTGGAATGTTGTGTCCGAATCGATTACTAAAGAATGTTGAATGTATTCAATGTAAGTATCAGTTTAACCCACAACAAGTTTTTGTTTAGCAAAATATCAGTTTGCTGGCTTGCTATAGCACTGTGAAACAAAAGAGATAATTTGGATGGAAAATCCTGTCACCAACTAGTAAAATTAAGTACACCTTATGTACAAGTAAAAAATGGACAAAGGGAAGTTCTAAATACTATCAAATTCCATGAAACAGATTGTTTTCTTAGGTAACTTGATGTGTCAAGCAAGCTATAGTATTATTAAGAATTGTGAAAATCAGTTGGGTGGGACAGAGTATCTGTATTTTACTTTGTATCTTGCAAGATGTTGCCTTTATCATATAGTTGATCCATTTAATTCTTGGATCAATAAAAAAAAAAGCTATGGCACATTTCAATAACTTTTTTGGTTGTTTTTATTAAAATTTGGAGATCATCAGTAATATTGATCTTTCCACTGTTAATTTGAGTATCATTTATCACATGTACATCAGCATGTTTATGTATATATATCAGACTTGTGTATGTTTTAAGGATAACTATGCTGCAATTTTAGGAATAAATTCATTTATCAGTAAAACATTTTCTTGTGTTTATTTTTTTATTCTTCTGAGAATATTATTGTGCATGGTGTAGCTTACAATGGATGTCATTAAGGTAAAGGGTATGATAGAAAAGAATCAATCTTTTTCTCCATTGTATTGTCAACAAAAAGGATGGATTTTTTTCAAGCTAAGAGTAACTTCCTTTGTTAAGGTTTTCGCCTCTTGTTTTGATTTGGAGGGGGTGTCAAAATAACATGAATTTCAAATTTTTTTCTCTCGAAAAATTGTAATTCTGTAAAATGAAATGTAAGATTTGAATCATATGCAATGCAAATGTAAAAAAAGGAAAAAAAATACTAGTGCCAAGGCTAATAATATGTTTCTATCCTTGTACTCTTTACCTTAACTGTTTTCATATATGTTCTATCATTTGTGTGTTGAGGATGTAGCATGAAGATGTTTAATGAGTCTCCTGTTGAGATGGCAGCCTCCCGTTGACTAGCGTAGTGTCTATCAGGTGGTATAAAGAGGGTACATGAATTGTTGCCGATACGAGGCTGCACTCGGATCTAAAAGATCATCATTTTCTTAATGCCCACTGCGGTCGTCGTTTATTTCAAACTGAGACGACTGAAGATCGTATTTTTCAAGGAAAGTAATGCAATTCATCTCCAGTAGGTCGTCTCCTTCATTCTTAACTAGCTAGTTAATCAGGCCTTTTTCTCCCACTCCCCTGATTATTCTTCTTTCTCCTATAGTTCTTAGAATAACCTTCACAGATGTGGAATTGGTTTGATTCCATCTCGGGGTATAGAAGTACCATCATACAAGCGCTTGGTGGCACAACATCCAGGACCTCCTCTCATGGGGCGTTTCAACACCTGTCCTGGAACACTCCAAATATCAGGTGTAGACAGTGATCGGCCAAAAGTTGAAAGGTTTCCAGCGCTTGTCCTCTCTTCTCCAAATGACGATTGAAGACAGCTCTGCTTTTGTTGGCAATCATTGAAGTCTTCCAGTATCTGCTGGGAAACTCCTACATCCAGTTTTGTCAGGGAAAACTTACACGCTCCATCATCCCTTTATCCCCATTCATCAGAGAGATTGGCTTACTTTCCTTTCTTGCGTTCATGCACCTCCTCGCACCACTCCTTCCAGGGAACAGTCGGCTCCACCTTGACCATTCTCTCCCCTTGCTGTGACCAGGCTAGCATGTCTGGACGTAAATTTGATATTCTGTCTTTCATAAGGTTTTTTTCCTGTATTAGGCTGTGGTTTCCTAGCTGACCTGGCTTTCTGTCGTGCCTCCTCAGCCTGTTACAGTCGTAACACTTTGTGAATTTACGGTTTTGTACATGACCATTCTCTTTCCTTGCTGTAACCATAGTAGAATGTCCGGGCGAAGATAAGATATCCTGTCTTTCACAAACATTTATTCTGGTTCCCTAATTAGACAGGTTTCTGTCGTTCATCTACAAGTTAAAGTCGTAACGCTTCCCTGTGAATCAGTGGTTTTATACGACTTACTTTAATCTCATCAAACCATTTCTTTACACAATTTAATCGATCATCGTACAACTGAAATTTCTGAGCCTCGATTACAGAAAAAAAAACTGGTGATGAAACATCTTGGTCCTGACGGTCACCATCGATTTAAGAAATGGTGATCAATCTTTAGACACTGAAATCCGATAAAAGTTGGAAGTCTCTCTGTGGCAACGACAATTTTTCAAGTCTGTAGAATGGGGCCTCTTCAGTAAAAAGCCACGTTGATATGCACATATAACTCCCTCCTTACTAAGTACAAGTCTACGCCCCCGAAGCCACACGAGACCCTATACCACCTTCTGTTGGGCGACAAATGTCATCATTTCATTTTAATACTTGCGCTTGGAGTCTAATCCAAAACCCCTCATTTACTAGATGGACGTCATATCCAAACTAAGGTACGCAATGAGTCACTAGCAATTGCCCCAGCCCAGTAGATCAACACTTGGCAAAAATGACTTCCATGTATTGTATAGATGTTGTTATTTTGTTGTTTTGTGTAATTTACCAAAAACTTAAATGTGTATATTTGGGCATTAAAGTTGGTTTCAATTGAATTAGCCGACATCCTCAAGCTGACGCATTCCACCATTGTGTGCTCTGACCACTGACTTGGTGCACTCAGGATAGGGGTCCACAGTGGTGACCAATCACTGCGCGACAGAGTTGGGTCTATCTATACTGATGTCATCCATCCCAACCAAGCATGACCCTCTTTCTGTTGCTTGCGGTCTTCTCTTCACTACTGTCCGCCTGCTTCGTCTAATTATTTTCAATGGAGAGGAACATTCAACACACAGACTGTAAGGAAAACCTCTACAGCCAATCCTTACTATATACGTCCATGGTTACCATCTCTTATCTTGCACTCCTCATATTTAACATTATTTCCCTTGTTGGCGTCATTGTGTCTTTCTTCTCACAAAACTGTCAATTCATGACTCCAGGCTTCCGGTTAATGTTCACTGCAGGCTTCTACTCCTTTTTGATTTAGGATCCCTGATCCCTGGCTTACATACAATCTTGACCTCCCTTAAAATTAAAATGTGTTGACTTCCATTTTGTATGATTTGGATTATTCTCCGCTTCTTTCTGACTAGTTCTTCCAGCGTAAGTAGTATCTGGCTTTACTGCCATATATTACCCCATTCTACTGGGAAAGAACGGTGTGAATTGGGCATAAAATATATGTCTCTATCATTCAGATGTCTGCAAAGTAAAAAGCAGGTTTGCTGGTGTTAGTAGCAAATGACACAAAAACCGGAGAAGAAACTGATTTTGGAAACGTTGTTAATTCCAGACGTCAGCCCAGAAAAGTGATCGCAGGTATATCTTCAAAAAACAAAAGAATACCAAAGAGTCGACAGAACCGTACCTTGAACTCGAATACGATACTGGAGCCAAATATGGACAAAGGAAATACTATATTACGTGAAGACTCTTGACAAAGTACAAGGAACAAAACGACAAAAAGTGTCAATAGTATTTAGGTCACATCATGTCCTCAAACGGAAAACAGCTGTATTGACAACGAAAAATATATTGATCGTCATATATCACCTAGATAAAAGACATAGTTCCAAACGAGTTTAGAGTGGAGATGAGTCCCTGACCTTAAAAGAGAGATGGTTCAGAGTGAGAATAGATCAATGGGGGAAGAAGATCGACATTCACGGGCAGTTGCAGCAGCGATAAGAACAGGGGGAATTAGAAAGCATACCCTGAACTGGTGTTGCATCTGGTCTATGGATTACAACATTGAGAGAAAAAATCCGGTAGTTCCAACATGCTGGCCGATTATATCATTAGTGAGTTATTTTGAACAAGAGCTTTCATCTTGTAAGTGGCTTTGGGGGACGGACTCTACACCTTAATATATGACATGGTCCTGGCAACCATCACAGATACAAGTGAGAGAGAGAGAAAAATAAAGAGATTGGCAGCAACAAGGGTTAGCTTCCCGAATTTAATGAAGGAAGGTCAACAAGAAAATAGTTTAAATCAGGCTAGAAGAATCTTCGGTGTAGCACTAGACTTGCAGATAATATAGTGGATCTAAAAAGATGATAAATAGCATTTCTCACCCTATAGGGGAATCTCAATCCAAGGGGCAGGCCTTTTTTCTATCAGATGATTTTGCCGACTGTAACACGGCGCCTGTCAAAACTATCTCGTCGTGTAAACCTCTAACAATGTTGGAGCAGGGGGGTATTCTTACGTTGCCAAACATGAGGCTTTGCATTCTACTTCATCGACGACACCAACAATGAAAATCAAAGTCAAATCCAAGTAATGTCCTCAAAGCAAGAACCTGGGAAGCGACCACCAATTCTAGATATGATTGTTGATATTCCGTTCCAGCTTCTCTCGGTGCAGTTGACGCGCCTGGACTTGAATCCTAGTCTGTTCAGTGTAGTTTTCCTTTCCTGTTACAATAACAAATCGCTATATTCCTTTTCGAAGACGTACAAAATATGAAGAACTCTATCAATGTTATTAAATTGATCAGTTATTTTGTACAGGAATAAAAATGTATTATCAGTTGCCACGATATTTTCTGGTCATCAGGATATAAACTGTATCAGTTTTCTCCAGAATGCACGGAACTATGGAACGCCAAATTATTATATATATCTAATTAATTGAAGATGGGTCCAATTTAATTAAAGATCTAAGGTTCAATTCAATTGGGAATATGTTGTATTTGTACTTGGGTTCAATTCAATTGAAGATATGTACATTTCAAATTGAGATTACTTCACCTGAAATCTCCCCGCGCCAGTAGGCGCATAACGCCTCCACGCTTTTTTCCCAACACAATCTTTCGCTGCTGTTTTTGCGGTGTTGGAGTAGCACAACCATATATGATGGAGTAGCTGCTGCAGCTACTCCATCATATATGGTTGTGCTCTTTTTTCAACCGTTCTTCGCCAGGTTGTTTTTGGTCTCCCTCCTTCTCTCCTCAAGATGTGACCAATCCAGTTCCACCTTCTTCTCCTTATGTCACAGCTGAATTTCAGCATTTTGGTGTTCTTGGCTGCCATCTTGCTCTCAACATCCTTCTTAGTCATTGGTATTGGAAGGTGTTCAGTTTCTTTTCTTCTGCTTTTGTAATTTTCGATGTCTCCATAAAGTAATACAGGTTTAACAAGCGACTTAAACTGATGTATCTTTGTCTTTCTACCAATAGCTTGTGTTCCCAGATATTTCGGAGTCGGTGGAATATGCTCTTCTCTTGCCTTCTGTAGCCAGTTCTTGATATCACTACTACCTCCTTTATACACATTTGTCAACATCTTCTATTATCTCGTTGTATAAGAGGATATTTTCATCCTTTCTTGCTTGTTCGCTCCTGACTGTCTTGTATTTTTTAGCATTAAGCTTTCTCGTATACTCTTTCTGTCTTTTCACTAAGATCACTTAGCTTTGATGACAAAAGAGCAATGTCGTCGGCAAAGTCCTGGGCCCGTATTCATGAAACCGTTCT